TGCTCATTGCTGCTGCTCGCCTGGCCCGTGCTTGGCTCTGTGTGGGGTGACCCGGCCCCCCCCCCGTACCCCTCCCGCCCCCCCCCCCCGTGTTCACGCTGGTCTCTCTCTCTCCCGGCCCTGCGGGCACTGCCTGGGCTCAGCAGAGGAGGAAGGTCCGACCCCGCGGGAATAACCTCAGTGTAGGTACCGCCGGGCCCCGGGAGCTGCCCCACGGGCTCAGCCTGCACCCACCCTGCACCCACCCCTGCACCCACCCTGCACCCACACCAGCACCCACACCTGCACCCACCCCTGCACCTATACCAGCATCTACCCCTGCACCCATCCCTGTACCCACACCAGCACCCACCCCTGTACCCATCCCTGTACCACATCAGCACCTACCCCTGCACCTATCCCTGCATCTACCCCTGCACCCACCACTGCATATCCCTGTCCCCTTCTTCCTGTCCCCATGTCCCTGTCCCCTTCCTCCTGTCCCCATGTCCCTGTCCCCTTCCTCCTGTTCCCATGTCCCTGTCCCCTTCCTCCTGTCCCCATATCCCTCCCAGTGACACTTGGAGGCCCCTGGCAGCAGCAGCTCAATGGATAGAGCAGCGAGGGGGGGGGAATCTGTCTCAGGGTGGGGCTGGGATGTGGCACTGGAGCGTGTCCATGTCCCCCCCAGCCCACCTCTGGGGCCCCCCCAAGGGAGGCTTGGGGATAGCCTGGCACGAGGGGAGGGGACACCGGACCTGGCGTGGGAGCAGAGCCTGGATCCATGGCAAGGGCGAGCAGGGATGGAGCTGGGGAGGGGGGCACCTGAGCACTGGAGCAGGGTGGAAGGGAGGGAGGGAGGGAGGGAAGGAAGGAAGGAAGGAAGGAAGGAAGGAAGGAAGGAAGGAAGGATGATGGCGGATGGATGGATGGGTGATGGATGGGTAATGGATGGATGGATGGATGGGTAATGGATGGATGATGATGGATGGATGGGTGATGGATGGATGGATGGATGATGGATGGATGGGGGATGGATGCTGGATGGATGGATGATGGATGGATGGGGGATGGATGCTGGATGGATGGATGGATGATGGATGGATGGATGGATGGATGGATGGAGGATGGATGGATGGATGGAGGATGGATGGACGGTGGATGGATGGATGATTGATGGGTGGATGATGATGTATGGATGGATGGATGGGTGATGGGTGGATGGATGGATGGATGGAGGATGGATGGATGCTGGATGGACGGTGGATGGATGGATGATGAATGAAGGCACAGAGCCAATGCTCACAGGTATCTCTCCCCGTGAGCCCCCGCTGCTGTCCCCACAGACCATATCCGACGCCAGCCCCATGAAGCGCTCAGCCTCCACCCTGGGCCACCCCCGCGCCCGCGGCATCCGCCTGGATGACTACTCCCTGGAGCGCGTCATTCCCGAGGACGGGCAGCGGCACCACCAGCGCCGGCGGGAGCGGAGCCACCGCACCTCGGAGCGCTCCCTCAGCCGCTACACGGACATGGACACAGGTGGGACGGGACCCCCGGACACCCTCTCCCCCCCATGTGCTGCACCCCACGGCCCCCCCATCCATCCCCCTCCGCTGTGCCCCTGCAGGGCTGGGCACCGACCTGAGCATCACAACGCAGTCGGGGGAGCTCCCTCCCAAGGAGCGGGACCCGGAGCGGGGCCGCGCCAAGGACCGCAAGCACCGGCACCACCACCACCACCACCACCACCACCACCACCACGGCGCTGGCGACAAGGAGCGGGGCCCCCCCCCCGAGCGCCACGACTACGGGCGGCCCCGCTCCCGCGACCGCCGCTGGTCCCGCTCCCCCAGCGAGGGCCGGGAGCACGCCCCCCCCCGGCAGGTGGGTGCCCCCCTCCGCTCTCCCCTTCGCCTGTAAAGGGGGGGGCTGTGGGGACACCCCCCCATAGGAGACAAGCAGGGTGTCCGGTGGCCTCTGGACCAGGCTTCAACCAAAGACACTGCCCCCCGCCATGCACTGGGACCCCCCTTAGGGTCTGTGTGGGGGATCCCAGTGTCACCCCCCAGTTTATACTGGTGGCATCCAGTTAGACCGGCAGAAGCCGCCCCCCCCCCCAGCGCCCCACCTTGGGGCTCCAGCCTCCCAACATCAGATGGGCAGCACCAAAGGGAAGGCAATGGGGGGAGGGGGGCAGCTCTAAGTGGGATGTGGGGGTGCAAAGGGGGTTATGAGCTGCTGTGGTGATGTTTGACCCCCCTGGATACCCCCCCCCCCATTTCTGCTCTCGGCCCCTCCCACCCTGCCCATTCCTTGCTTCCCCCCCCCCCCCGTGCCCCCCGCTGCTTGGGGGGGGCCCTGCCGTGATTCACGTCTCTGTCTCCCCATCGCTGTGCTTTGGCTGCGCTGTCACGGCGAGGGGTGGCCCAGGTAAGCGGTTCGGGGCCCCCCCACGTCTGCTCCGGCCCCCCCGGATCCATCAATCCCCCCTCCAGGAACGCTGGAAAGTTTGGAATGAAGATGCCCCCCCTCTTGGCTGCCCTGGACTGGTTTGGGGTGACCCCCCCCATCTCCAGCTCTGCTGCACCCCCTTAGCAGGACCATGGAGCTCCCCCCAGTGCAGAGTTGGGGTGTAGGGACTCCCCCGAGCCCTACATTGGGGTGGGTGGCCCCCAGGGTTGGGGTGCAGGGATCCCTCTCCCACCCCTGTTTTGGGGTGCACAAATTGCACCCGATGGGTTTGGGGCACCCCACAAGACGGGGGGGGAGGGGTGTGTGCAGGCATTTGGGGGTGCACGGGACCCCTCCAGCCCTGGGTTGGGGCTGGGGTGATGGCACTGGGGGGACGCAGCAGTTGCACCATGGGATGGGTGCTGAGTTCCTCACCATGGATCGGGGTGCACGGGCCCCTCACCTCCATAGGCAGGGGGGGTGCAGCCCCCAAAGGCCTCAATTGGGGTGATCACCCCCTGCACCCAGCGCTGGGGGGTCCTGGCCTCACCCCCCAGGATCCGGGTGAATGGTCCTAGCCTGGGGGGGGGGGCACGGACCCCACCCCCTGAGTCCCTGCAGGTAACGGGTTGGGGCTCACGGTGTGTGCCCCCCCCCAGGTTCCACTTTAGGGTGCAGGGCTCCACCCCCCCGGGGCCGACTCTTCCAAACTCCTCCAGCCCCCTGCTCCTCCCCATCTCCCCCGGCTGAGTCCCAACATCTTCCCCCCTCCTGCTTTGCGAGTGGCTTCGGGGGGAGCCGGCAGCCCCCCCACATGCCCCCCCTTCTCCCCACTCCCCTCTGCCCCCGTAGCCCTCCCCACCTCTTCTCACTTCTCTTCCCCTCTGCTCTCTCGTTTATGTCCATCCCCCCCAATGTTCTCGCTGCTTTGCCCTCCCTATCCCTGTCTGGGCCCCCCCCCGTGTCTGCATGGCCGGTGGCTGTCGCCCCCCATGGCTGTGACGCCCCCCCCCCATGTCTCTGCTTATGTCTGTGCCCCCTAAACCCGCGGCTGCTCCCCTGCTGTTCATGTTCACGTTCCCTCTGTCTTTCGGGAACCCACATCCCTGTGACCAATTGCTTCCCATCCATGCCCCCCCCCCCCCCGCCATGCCTGTGCCCCCCCATTCCTCGTGTTGTCCCCTTCAACCCCTGTGTCCAACCCATCTTTGCCCTTGCCCCCCATGTCCATGCCTCCTCCTGGTGTCCCTGTGTCCATGTCCCTACGTGTCCCTCGTGTCCCTGCATCCCTGCCCACGCTCTCACGTCCTGCATCTGTGCGCCTCTCCTTCCCCCGTGTCCGTGGTCACCCCCCCATGGCCGTGTCCCCCCGCTGTCCCGCCCGGTCCCCCGCGGTCACCCCGCTGTCTCGGTGTTGCTGTAGGGCAGTAGTTCGGTCAGCGGCAGCCCGGTGCTCTCCACCTCCGGGACCAGCACCCCCCGCCGCGCCCGCCGCCAGCTCCCGCCGACCCCCGCCACGCCGCGGCCCCACGTCTCCTTCTCCCCCGCCGCCCGCCGCCCCCCGCCCGCCGCCGCGCCCCCCGCCCGCGGGCCCCGCCGCCCTCCGCCGCCCGCCGCCGCCTCCCCGCGATGGACCGACCCCCCCCGCGACCCCGACCCGGCGCTCGACGGACGCGTCCCACGGGGCCCCCGGCCCGGCGGCCGCGGCGGAGCGGGGGGGACACGACCGGGACCGTCCCCGCCCCGGCCCGGCCGGCGGTTGCCCAACGGCTACTACCCGGGGCACGGCACCGCGAAGGGGCGGCCCGGTCTCCGCGACCCCTACAGCGAAACGGACGATGACTGCTGCTAGCGGCGCCTCCGACGATCTATCGCGACAGAGCGCCGCGACATAGGGCGGCGGGGAGGGGGTGCAGACGCCACACACACAAACAACCCCCCCCCCACCCGGCGCTCGCTCCCGGGGCTATGGATGAGTTTTATCATCTGGAGGAGCCGCCGCCACCGGGGGCGGAACCGGGACCCCCCCCCCCCAAACCCCGCACCGGGAGGAGCGGGAATGGGCGGTGGGAAGCGGGAAACGGAGCCTGGGGGAGGCTCCGGGCCGGGCACCGGACACCGCCGCCCCCATCCCCGCCCGAGGGACCGGAGCTGCCGCCAATTGCATGAACCGAGTTACCGAATCCAAGAAATAAAGAGAAAAAAGAGACAAAACCCGACCCCCGACCCCCCCCCCCCACGAACGGAACCATTAAAACAAGAGGAATTTTGGATCGAGCCCTTCTCCCTGCTTCCCGGGACCGGCACAGGAGGGTTTGGGGGGGGGGGGGTGCACTGGGTCTGTGCTGTTCCCCCCTCCCCCCCCTTAGCAACCAGGAAGCACCGGGGTGGGGGATGGGCTGCCCCAACCTCCCCTTCCCCTCCCCCGCACATCCGGGCGCGCTCCCCTCCCCCCGCGTGGGCAGCACGTGGAACTTCCCGGAACCGGGAAAGGGGGGGTGGGGATTCTCCCCGTATCCTGCCCCCCCCCCCCGTGGGATATCACAGGGACCCCCCCAGGCGGTGGCTGCACAGAAACCACTTTATTTAATTAACAAAATAGTAATTAAACACAATTCGGGGAGGGGGGGGCAGGACCAGCCTGGAATCCCCCTCCAGCACGGCACGGCCGTGGGCAGAGGCGTTACCGGGGGTGGAAGCCCACCGGGAGCCACGAGAGTCCGAGTGTCCGCAGCGGGGGCTCAGCACGCCCCGACGGCGCGGACCAGGAAGGCGAAAGCGGCTGCGGGCATCCCCGAGCACCGACCGGGGGGCCCCGGAGCGAGCGGCGGCTCCTCCGCCTCCAACCGCGCCCGTTTACTCAGCACCGGCCCGGCACCGCCTGAGCCGCTGCTCCGCCGTTTGCGCCCGACCCGTGCGACCGGAGCAGCTCCGGGGGAACCGGGCTCAGGCGGCGGCGAGGAGCAGGGAGCACTCGGAGGGTCCCGGGGAGGCGCTGGCGGCCTCGGAGAACTCGGCTGAGCGCAGTACCGGCTCGGGGAGGCCTGGGGGTGGTCCCGGTACTGCTCCTGGGAGCCGCGGGGGTCCGGGCTTTCTGGGTCCTCCCGGTACCGGGGGCCGCGGGGGTCCGGGCTCGCTGGGTCCTCCCGGTACCGGGGGCCGCGGGGGTTCGGGCTCGCTGGGTCCTCCCGGTACCGGGGGCCGCGGGGGTCCGGGCTCGCTGGGTCCTCCCGGTCCCGGGGGCCGCGGGGGTCCGGGCTCGCTGGGTCCTCCCGGTCCCTGGGGCTGTGGGGGTCCGGGCTCGCTGGGTCCTCCCGGTCCCGGGGGCCGCGGGAGTCCGGGCTCGCTGGGTCCTCCCGGTCCCTGGGGCTGTGGGGGTCCGGGCTCGCTGGGTCCTCCCGGTCCCGGGGGCAGCGGAGGTCCGGGCTCGGTCGTCTCGGGGGGTCTCCCCCGTGCGGGTCCCCGGGAGCCATCCCCAGGGGGTTCCCCGCCGTGGGTCCCAGTTCGGCGGCGCGGGCGGTCAAGTACCGGTGCCGGGCAGCGCGGACGAGCAGCGAGAGCTGGAGGCTCTGGTGGAGGCGGAGGCCGCCGCGCTGCAGCCGGCACCGGTAGAGCTTCCACACGGACACCGTCAGCAGCCGCTGCGCCTCCTCCATGGCGCCGCCGGGACCGGAGTGCGCTGGGGCCGCCCTCGCCGTGGGGCTCTTGTAGCGCCGCTTCCGCCCCCCCCCCACCGCCCCAGCACCGGGCCCGCCCCGGCTCCGCATCCGGCCCCGGAGCGGCGGAAATACCCCGGGGGGGGGGGACACACGACACGGCGCGGTGTCCGTGGGGGGGGTCCCTGTACCCACATGGGGGGATCCCTGTGACCCACGGAGGGGGATCCCTGTGACCCATGGAGGGGGCCCCTGTACCCACATGGGGGGATTCCTGTCATCCACAGAGGGGGGCCCTGTACCCACATGGGGGGATCCCTGTGACCCACGGTGGGGGTCCCTGTGACCCATGGAGGGGGGCCCTGTACCCGCATGGGGATGTCCCTGTGCCCCTCCCCACGTTTCCCGGGCCAGCCCGGGGTGGGGGGGAGGTGGGCTATGTGTAAGAGCGGGTGTTACACGGGAACCCCCCCCGTGACGTCACGGCGCGCCGTTTCCCTGACTATATAAGGGGACGACAGCAAAGGGGCGGAGCTCCGCGGAAGACGAGGGGAGGGGGTGTGTGTGTGCGCAAGCCCGGGATCAGCCCACTTCCTCCTTACCAAATATGGACAAAGGGGCGGGGCCGCGCCCCTGCAGCCCCGCCCCTCTCGGCGCACGTGCCGGGGGTGTTATCAAACCTCTCGTGTTTTATTGTCACTATTAACACGCCGCGGCCCCTCGCCGCTCTCCTACAGCAGTTCATGTGCAATTCTCCAGCGACTCCGGGGTTGGGGGGGGGGGGAAGGGGCCTCTTGGCACTTCATAACACAGGACAGACACTGGGGACCCCCCCGGGGGGGGTCGTGGGGAGGGGGGAAGCACAAGCCCGGGCTGGGGGGGGTCCATGCTCCCCGTTTCTGTACAGCTTCTGGGTCAGAAAACGGAAAGAAAAGGGAGAGAAATAAGCCTGACCCCCTCCGCCCTTAGTGAAAAGGGGACCCCTCCAATGAGGAGGGGACCCCCCCCTCAGTTAAAAGGAGGGGGGGCACCCCTGCAGGGCTGCGACCTGGTGCAACTCATTACACAGTGGAAAGGGGAGAACTGAGGCGCAGCAAGGGGGGGGGGGTGGGAGGAACAACCCAGGCATTGGGGGGGAAGGCAGAGGAGGGCCAAGGGGGGTGTCCCTGTGTGTCCCCCCCTCCCCGCCTGGGTGCTGGGGGGTTTGGCACAGAGCGGTGCGGTAATGGAGCCGTGAGCAGGGCCCAGGGGGGCCGGGCAGCGGGTAAGGCACTTGACCGAACGTCAGGAGACCTGTTGGGGGGCGAGGGGGGGGCTGCTGGGGTTGGGGGGGGGGGCCCACAGGATGCCTGGGTTACCCCTCAGCCCCACATCTACACAATGGGGGGGGGGGCGCCTGCCAATCTGTGCCTCAGTTTCCCCATTCAGAGCCGGTGCAAAGCCTTGCAGGGGGTGTGGGGGTCTCTCTGCGTGTCCCCCCTTAACAGAAGTGGGATTCCAACCTGTGCCCCTCCCCCAAGTCACTCCCCCCAGGGGCAACATGGGGGTGTCACCCCCCCCAATACAGGGTAATGAAGGGGGAACTGCTCCTCAGGGCAGGTTGTGGGGGTCCCATCCACACTGGGGGGCCCCCACACACAGGCTCAGCCCTGCCCTGCCCAGCTGGGGGGGGACGGGACGACAGGGGACACCCCCCTTTCTGACACGGTGGGGGGAGCTGGGGACAAGGGAAGGGGGGGGACACAAAACACAGACACCCAGAGCTGCCCTCCCCCAGGGGACGGACACACAAGTGGGGGACACACGTGGTCACCTGGAGACTCTGGCCCCATGGAGGGGGGGGACACAGGGACATGGGGGACACATGCTGGGGGGACATTCGGGGGGGGACGCCCAGAGAGACACTGGTCCCCAATTGGGAGGGGGGACATGGGGGGGACACATGCGGTTGCCTGCAGAGACAGTGGCCCCATGGAAGGGATACATGGGGACCCACATGGAGAAATGTCAGCCCTGGGGAGGGGTAGAGGGGGGTGGGGCCCAGAGGCGCCATGGGGCACCTGGGGGGGGACGTGGGACCTCAAATCTGGTGCCTGAGCAGGATAAAAGCCCCAGCCCTCCCAACCCCCCCCAAAACTGCTGGGGGGGGGGGCAATGGCCTTAGCTGCTGTCACCCTGCCCCCAAAAAGCCCCAGGCCCTCCCGGGGGGGTGACCAGACCCCTCAGCAGCGCCATGGGGTGGGATGGGGGGTCCCTGCCCCTGGGGGGGGATGACACACACCCCCTGGGAGGAGGGGGCCATGCAACCACATGGATCCCTCCACCATCAAAGGGGTCATCCCCAGTGAGAGTGCCCACCGGGTGGGGGTGCCCATGTAACCATAGGGCACTACTACAAGGGGGACCCTATCTGGAGGGGAGGGTCCCCTACCTGGTGACAGGGTCCCCACCTGGAGGGGGGGTCCCCTACCTATTGATGGGGTCCTGACCTGGTTATGGGGGCCCTACCTGATGGGGCCGCCCTACCTAGGACAGGGCTCCTACCTGGAGGGGGGGTTCCTTACCTAGTGATGGGGTCCCCTACCTGGTTACGGGGTCCCAACCCGGCAGAGGGGTCCCTACCTGGTGACAGGGTCTGTACCTGGTAGGGAGATCCCTACCTTGCGCTGGGGTCCCCACCTGGCAGGGGGGGCTCCCCACTGCAGTGGGGTGTCCCCAGGGGGTTGGAGGGGGGTCACTGCAGCCCCTCGCCAGGGGCTCCCGCTTCGCCCTCGTGGGCACTGGCATCGAAGCCAGGCTCGGGGCCCATGATGTCAGGCTCCAGCTTCCCGGCCTCGTTGATGAAGGATGTGTAGGAGTCGCCCTCGGCGCTCAGGAGCTTGAGCTTGGGGATCCAGCTCTTGCGCACCACGCGCCGCGCGTTGGTGCACATGTCAGCGGCGATGGCGTTCATCTCGCTCTCCTTGAAGTTGGGCGCAAAGTTCTGGCAGTAAACTGGGGACACACACACACAATGGGGGTGACGGGCAGCTCCTGGGGTCCATGGTGGGATCCCCCCAGCCCTTGGGCTCCCCAGTTGCCTATTACTCTCAAGTCCGCTCTCCCTAGGGTCTCCTCCACCCTCTGAGCTCCCTCTCTTCATTGTTTGAGTCCTCTGCTCATCTCCCCCTGGGGCTCTGCCCACCCCTGCTCTCCTGGGGTGTCCCCTGTCCCCCCACTCACATTTGACAGCGTGCAGGACCCGGCTGTCCAGCGGCTTCCGCCGGGGGTCATTGGTGGATGAGCGGATGCCAGTGCCACAGCTGTTGGCCAGGGTGTTACTGGTAAGGAAGGGATGAAAACCACGGTCAGAACCTGAGCACCCACCCCCCCCAAATCCCATAGAGACCCCAAAACCAGGTGCTGGGGCCCAACTTACCGGTCAAAGAAGGAGGCCAGGAGCCGCCGCAGAAGGACTTTGTGCCGTGTCCCCGCACTGACATGGCAGTTCATCAGCTGTGCCCGTGTAATGTACACGTTGGTGCCTTTGGGGGACGCACACACGGGGTGAGCAGGGCCAGGCCCCCAGCGGGGACCCCGTCCTCTCCTCTCCCCTCCTCTCCCCATGGGGCCCTCTGGGTGTACCTGTGACCAGCTCCAGCTTCTCGGCCGGGTCCCCCTCGTCGTAGAGCTTGGGGTGACAGCGGTTCCCAATCTGGTTGATGAGCTCGGCCGGCAGCGAGGCCAAGTCCTGCCGCACGCGCACGCGGGTGCGCGGCTCCGACGTGCCCTGGTCCGGCAGAGCCTCCACCTTCTCTGCGGCTGGGGGGGGGGACACAAGGGGAGGGTCAGTGGGGTCTGGAACCCAGAGGCATCCCCAACCTCTGTGGAAGCTTCTAGAAGAGCCCCCGAGGGGATATGAGGTGGGGGCAGACACGTGGTGACACCTCGTGTGCCCCTCCCGCCACCCTTAGCGACAAGCCACGCCCACAGGGGCGTGACTCTGGGGGAAACCCCACCTACTCCCCCCACGCACCATTGGGTGGGTGTGACTTGTGGGCGGAGCCCTACTCGACCAGACCCACAATGGAGGGCCTAACAGGACCACGACCCAATGGACGGAGTCTCGCCACGCCCCCTTTCCCCCACCATATAGGCGGAGACTCGCCAGGCCTCAGCCAATGGGTGTCGCCCCCTGCGCAGACCACGCCCCGCGGCGGGCGGAGCCTCACCTGCCAGCCCCACATTCATCATGCTGTACATGGTGTACATGTTGCAGATCTGGCGGTACTGCTCGTCTGAGCCTTCCTCTCCCCCATCTTCCTCCTCATCCTCCTCGTTGTGGAAGGAGCCGGGGCTGTCGCTCGTGTAGGCGCTGGACGTGCCTCCGGGGCTGGTCTGATCAGCAGCGCTGGGACCGGGAGCCACCGGGGCCGGTGCCACCAGGGCCGGCGCTGGTCCTGCTGTGGGGGTTGCAGGTTGCGGCTGCCGCCCCGGCTCCGGCGCGGAGAACTTGGCCATCTTCCGGCTGCCGTTGCCGCCGCCGGCGGCGCCATCCTTGGAGCCGCCGTCCCAAAGGCGCTTGACCACGAAGGTGCACTGCACCCCGTCGGGCTCCCCCTGCTCCGTCTTCACCCGCGACACCAGCGGCAACGCCGCGGCGCCCGAGGGCCAGCCCGAGGTCTGAGCCACGGGGCTTTGGGGCTCGGAGGAAGGAGCCTCCTCGCCGTGCAGCCCCTGCGAGTCGCAGCTGGGCGAGCTGACCTTGAGGAAGAATTCAGTCCCCTTCTCCATGATCTCCTGGATCTGCAGGAAGCCGGCGGTGTACATCAACAGGAACTGGTCCCCCATGTTCATGCTAAGCCGGCCCGTGTAGCAGAAGCTGAGGATCTGCTGGAAGGACTGGGGCTGCACGGCGGCCGGCAGCTCCACCACCGCGCTCTTGCTGCTGTTGAAAAGGTCCCGAAAGTAGGAGCTGCTGGCGGCCAGCACAGCGCGGTGAGCCTTGAACGCGTGGCCCTTCACCACCACCGACACGTCGCAGTAGAGCCCCTGCAGCCGCTGCTCGTTCAGGCATTCCAGGATGCTGTTCCCAAAGTTGGGGATCTCCATCTGCAGTGTCTGAGCCATGGCAGGAGCCAACGGGAGCCTGCGGGGACGGGGCCACGGGCATGTGTAGGGACACGGATGCATAAGGAGCAAGGCAGACATGGGGGACACATAGGAACAAAGACACATAGGGACACAGACACAGACACAGAGGGAATGGGGGCAAACACAGGGGACATGCAGGGACATGAGGGACAAGAATACACAAGGAGCAAGGCAGAAGTGGGGGCACACAGGGATAGGGGGCAGACATGGGAGACATGAGTACAGAGAGGAGGGAGACAAATAGGGGACATGTAGGGACACAGGGACATAAGGAGCAAAGCAGGTATGGGGGACACATAGGGACAGGGACACGGAAGGCACATAGGAACAGACACAGAAGAAAGTGGGACAGAAATGGGGGATATGTGGGAACAGGGACCCAGGGAGCAGAGCAGGGGACAGACAAATGGACACATGGAGAAGGGCAGAGACAAGAGGGGGGACAAGGCACAAGGGGATGGGGACAGAGAAGGGACAAGGCAAAGACCAGGCATGAGTCAGCCCATGGGAGGTAACCCCAGAGCCTCCCACAGCACCCCAAGAACAACCCGAGGTGGGGGAGAGACCTCCCAAAACAGGGGGTTAAGGAGGGAGGGCCCCCCCCGAGGGCCCCCCCCCTTGGCCATGGGGACTCTCAGGGCTCTCTAAGCCTGAGGACATGGGGGTGCTCAGGCCAAGGGGGTCCCCAGCACTTGGGGGTGCCTGGGGGGGGTGGCACGGGCACAGCCGCCCTTTAGGCAGGGGCGTGATGGGATCCTCCCACGTGAACGGGCCCCACACTTGGGGGGGTGGGGGGCGCACCGGGAGATCCCAAACGCGGGTAGAACGGGGGGGGACGACACAGCCCGCACCCTGCATTGGAGACAGAGAAGACCTCCGGTCTTGGGGGGGTGGGGGGGGCGGCACCCACAAGGGTTTTATGGGGGGGGGAACGGTTAAGCCCCCAAAAACGGGGCTGGCGGCAGAAGGGACCCCGAGGCCTGGTGGGGGGGGTGGTGGCCGACTGGGAGCGGGGAAGGGGGTGGGGGGGTGCCACAGGCTCGGGGGAACGGGAGCGGAGGGGCGGCGGGTGCGGGGCAGGCGGAGGGGGGGGGGTTCCCGCCTTACCGGAGGGCGGGGGGGGCTCAGCCTCGGCTCCGGCCGCTCCCGGTGCCCGTCCGGGTCCCCGCCGCGCTCAGCGGCCATTCATTGTGCGGCAGGCGCGATTAGCCGAGCGCCGCACCGCCCGGCGCCGCACGCGCGCGTGCGCAGGCGCGACCAGCCGAGCGCCGAATACCCACAACCCCTTCCTTCCCCCCCTCCTTCTGCACCAGGAGCAGGGCTGGCAGCGGGAATGGGCAGAGCTGCTTGTCCCGACCCCCTCCGCCGGATCAAACGGGAGCTCCCGGGCCGAATTCCCGCAGGAATATGCCGGGGTCTTCCCTCTGGGATCCTCACCGCCTCCCCGGGGAGGCCAAGGTCTTATGACCCTTGCGAGGTGCCGTTCGCCTACGGTCACGTGACCGCCGCAACATGGCGGCGCCCATGTGAAGGGGGGCTACGGCGCGGAGAATGCGCGGGGCAGGTGAGAACCGGGAGAGGGGGAGCAGGGAGGGGGGGCGGTGGGGGGAGGGGGTGGGACTTAAAGGGGCGGGACCTGAAGGGGGTGTGGCCGGAGGGGCGCGGGTTCCGGTACCCCCGGCCTCGTCCCGCGCCACGTGGTTGCCGGGGGAGTCACCCCTCGGTCCCATTCTGTGCCCCCTCCCCTCCCGCGTTAACTGCCCCCCGCCCCAGCAGCAGCCGCCTTCAGGACCCTTCAACGAGGCATCCCAGGCCCCCTCTGCCGCCGGTTTGCCATGGACGGGGCCTCCCCCAACGGCCCCGGGTCCCCCCCAGCCCCTGAGGGCTCCCCCCGGGCCAGCGAGACGCTGATCTCCGAGGGCCGAGCCACCATCCTCTTCCCCAGCGCCAATGAGGTCTTCTACAACCCGGTGCAGGGCTTCAACCGGGACCTGACGTGAGCAGGGCCAGGGGGGCTCTGGGGCATCTCAGGAGGGTCGGTGGGGGGTTTGGGATGTCTTGGGGGTACCCCATGGGGGTATTGGGGTGATCCTTACTCTCCCCTACCCCCATTCCTGACATCGCTTCCCTCTCAGCTGCGCTGTGCTGACGGAATTCGCTCGGCTCCTCCTGCAGCCAAAGGGGATCCAGGGTAGGTACCGCTGGGGTAGGTACCATTGGGATGGGTGCCGTTGGGGTAGGAGCCACCTTGGGCTCCCCATCCCCAGGCCCCCCGTTTGCTCAGTGTGGGGGAGGTAATCCGTCACCCCAATCCTTCCTTTTCCAGTTGTTGCCCCTGGGGAGGAGAGCACGGATGCAGGAAGCCCCCAACCACTGGAGGAGGGTGATGGTGCCAGTGCCAGCCCCCCACGGGTGGTGAAGGCAGGAGAAGTGTGCGAGGTGCTGGGCACAGGGGGGGGATTCCCCTTTTCCCTGTATTGGGGTGTCCCCCGCCATGGCAGCCCATGGGCAGCGCTGTGTGTTTGCAGGGGGGGCTGCGGGTGCTGGAGGCGCTGGCGGCCTCGGGGCTCCGCTCCATCCGCTTCGCCAAGGAGGTGCCGGGGCTTCGGGCCGTGGTGGCCAACGACTGCTCAGCGCAGGCTGTGGGGCTCATTGAGCGCAACGTGGCCTTCAATGGGGTGGGGGCCCTGGTGACCCCCAGTATGGCTGATGCCAGGTAACGCCCCCTGAGCACCCTCAGGAACCTCCCCACCAGGCTTTTCCCCCCCTCCATGTATTGGAGCGTCCCATAGTGGGGTTTGACAAAACCAGGACCCCCCTTTCCCTCCCCCCAGGATGCTGATGTACCAGTGCAAAGCTGACAGGGAGCCCTTTGATGTGATCGACCTGGACCCCTACGGCAGCCCCGCGCACTTCCTTGATGCTGCTGTGCAAGCTGTGAGCGAAGGAGGTGAGCTGGGGCCGAGGGGGGGGGGCCCACATTGGGGTGCTCGTGGCAGCACCCCTGAACCCTTTTCCCCCCCTTGGCCAGGGTTACTGTGTGTGACCTGCACGGACATGGGGGTGCTGGCGGGGAACAACGCTGAGACCTCCTACAGCAAGTACGGTGCCGTGTCCCTCAAGGGCAAGTTCTGCCACGAGATGGTGAGCGGGGGGGGGTCCCTGGTGAGTGTGGGGACAAGGGGGGGAGGTCAGGGGTGTCCCCATGGCCTCCGTGTCTCCGCCGTGGCCAGGCCCTGCGCATAGTCCTGCACAGCCTGGACAGCAGAGCCAACTGCTACCAGCGCTTCATCGCGCCGCTGCTCGCCGTCAGCGCCGACTTCTACATCCGCGTCTTCGTGCGGGTCTTCACGGGGCAGGCGAAGGTGAAAGCCTCGGCGAGGTGAGGGGGGAGACGCGGTGGGGACCGCAGCGAGAGGGGTGCACCCTGTGACCCCCCCTCCCCTTGCTTTCGCCCCTGCAGCAAGCAGGCTCTGGTGTACCACTGCGTTGGCTGCGGCACCCACCACCTCCAGCGCATGGGCAAGGCCACAGCCCATGGCAACGGGTACAGTGGGGGGGCAGTGTGTGCCCGGGGTGAGGGAGGGAGCCTGGGATAAGGGGGACCTCTCACACCTCAGCTCTTCCCTTCCAGCTTCAAGTACGGGGCAGCCACGGGGCCACCTGTGGGGCCCACGTGTGAGTTCTGCCAACAGCGGCACCAGGTGGGTGCGTGTGTGCCCCCGTCAGTGTCCCTTTGGTGCTCCCCCGTACCCCATCGCTGACCCCTCGTGTCCCCCTGTACCCCATCACTGACCCCCCTATCCCCCCCCAAGCTGGGTGGTCCCATATGGGCTGAGCCGCTCCATGACGTGCCCTTCGTGCAGCGGGTGCTGGCGGCGCTGGAGCGGAGCCCCCAGCGCTTCCAGACGCAGGAGCGGATGCAGGGGGTGCTCAGCAGCATCGCCGAGGTACTTGGGGGGAGGGCATTTGGGGGGGGGGGTTCAAGTCCTGTCCCCCCTCCCAGCGCTGGGGCTGACTCAGCTGCTCCCCATGGGCAGGAGCTCAGCGATGTGCCCCTGTACTACACCCTGGAGGGGCTCAGCAGCACCATCCACTGCAACACCCCATCACTGCTGCAGTTCAGGTGAGGGCACCCCAAAAACCCCTCCTTAGCCCATCCCTGCACCCCAAACCCTATCCTGTCCCTCCAATCCCATCCCTACGCCCCCAAATCTCATCCCACGCCCCAAATCCAATCCTGCACCCCCACTCCCATCCCTGACCCCCAAACCCCCTCTGTGACTCCCCCCACCCCGTGTGTCCCCCCCAGCTCAGCGCTGCTGCACGCCGGGTACCGCGTGTCCTTGTCCCATGCCTGCAGGACCGCAGTGAAGACGAATGCGCCCCCAGCTGTGCTCTGGGACATCCTGCGCTGCTGGGTGAGGGGGGGGTACCTTGGGGACCCCCCCCAGGACACCCCAGTATGGGGCAGGGTTGGAGGCCTGCCCCCCCATCATCATCCTCCTCCTCTTCCTCAGGTGCGGCTGCACCCGGTGAAGCGCGAGCGGCTCACAGACACCAGCCCCGCAGCCCGGATCCTCGCCGTGGAGCCCACGTAGGGACCCTGGGGAGGGGATGAGCGTCCCAAAACAGGCTCAGGGAGCCCCAAAACAGGCTCAGGGAGCCCCAAAACTGGCCCAGGGAGCCCCAAAACCGGCCCCAGGCACCCCACAACTGTTCCTGAGCACCCCCAGCGCAGCCCTGAGCCCCTCTCCCCCTCCAGGCTCCAGGCTTCCTTCGCTATCCGCGCTGACGCCAATCCCAGCTCCAGGAAAAGGGGCTTGAAGCGATTCCCAGAAAACCCAGAAGCATTTTGGGGACCTAAAGCCCGGGCCAAGGCTGGGTAAGGAGCTTGTCGTGGGTCTCATGAGGGTTGGGCTCTTCTGAACCAAGCCAAGGTCAAAATGTCCCCGTCCCCCCCCCCCCCAATCGAGGGGAGAATAAAGATGCCCTAAAGGAAGTGGGGAGGAGGGAAGGGTCCAGTGCTCTGCCTGGGGGGGGTCTGCAGCTCCCTGGCTCATGCCCCCCCCAGGGGCGGCATCTCCCCATCCCTGCAGGAGAAGAGGAAGCAGCTCCAGAACAAACGGAGGCAGCGACTGCAAGGAGCCGACGTGGAACCCTCCCCCTGCAAACGGCACAAGGAGGTGGGGAGGGCAGGGGAGAACAAAGTGGGGGCAGAATAAAGGGGGCCTGGGAAGAAGAGGGGCTTAAGGGGGAAGAGAGGACAAGGGGGTGGGCTGGGAATGGGGGGGTGCAGAATAAAGGGGGTCTGGCAAGAAGGGGGGCCAAGAGGGGGCCACTGCCACCCCCTCACCCTCCTTCCCTCCATCAGGGCCACTGCTTGCAGGAGGGGGAGCCCCCCCTTGCACCCCCCAGACCCGGCACTGCCTCGTGCCCCCATTAAACGCCTGAGGAAATGGTGTGGTTTTTAATGCACTTGGGGAGGGACACAGGACAGAGACACCCCCCCGTGCCCCACCCGGCTCCGGGATGCTCAGAGCCCCCCCAGAGCTGCTCCAGGCCCCTCGTAGTGCACCAGGAACGTTCTGATGTCCATAGGCTGCAGCGTCACCTGCCGGGGGTCCAGTTTGGCCACTGGTTGGGACTGGGCTGGACCTATGGGGAAGTGGGAAGGGGTGAGGGGAAGCTGCAGCCCCTGCATGCCCCCCCCTTAAAGCTCCCCCAGTACCTGTGGCCGGGGTCCAGACCAGGCGGGAGATGGCATCGAGGGGCTGGTCCCCCCCTAGGCTCATCTCCTGCACGGAGGTGATGGTGAATGCCGAGAACAGGTCCTGGGAAAGGATGTTGGGAATCATGCGGGAGCAGGAATGGGGTCACCTCTGGAAGCCTTGGGGACGGGCGGGGGGTTCGGGGCTCACCAGCAGGTCGATGGTGACGGGCTGGGAGCTGTTCCTGCTCTCCCCGCTCTCAAACTGGTGCTCCAGCCGCAGCAGCAGGGTCCCAGCGTCCCCGGGGGCCAGCGTCAGGAGGTGGATGCTGGGAGGCAGCTCCCGGCGCAGCGCTGAGAACTGCGATGGGGACAGTGAGGGACGGGGATGGGCACACCCCCCCCCCCCCCCGCACCGCCCGCAGCCCCTGCCCTCACCTCCCGCAGCACTCGCTGCTTGGGCCAGTAGGATGGGCCCCCCCCGGGCGCCAGCACCGGGTACGGGGCCATGAAGAGCTCCTGCGCCCGCAGGCGGTGCCCGTCGGCCGCTGCCTGCACCGTGTCCAGCAGCAGGAGGTGGCGGCCCCGCACCACCAGACCCCGCTGGGCCGGGTCCTGCTCCAGCAGCGGCTCCCCCACCCCGCGGTTGTCATCGTACAGGAGCCGCCGATGGACCTGGATGGGGATGGAGGGGGGGTTATGGCACCCCCGAGGACACCCCCCCCCCCACTGCATCCTGGTCCATCACCATCAGCTCCAAGGAGCCATCGGAGATGCTGCTGCCGCCCTGGGAGCGATCCGTGAGCGCCGTCAGCTGGACCTTCTTGTCCTATGGGCAGGCACAGAAGAGGCACCTGTGTGATGAGTTCTGCCCTGGGCTCAGACCCCGCTGCCACCCCAGTGCTGGTACCTTGATGAAGATGCGGCTGGTGACAGGGTAGTAATTCCCTGCCACAGGCTCCGTCTGGTTCAGGTCCCACGTGGGGCGATGGTCGCGCCTGGGCATGAGGCACTGCTTGGTTATGGGATCGGGGGGGACACAGGGGGGGTCACAATGAGCTGGCTCCAACCTGCGCTCCAGGATCTGCCGCCCATTGGAGTCAGTGTAGAACAGGGCCTGGGTCTGCAGCGGCGTCTGGAAGCGGCTGATGATCTCCTTGCCCCAGCCATCCCTGGGACAGGCAGGGGGAGAGCAGCGGGGTTTGGGCGGGTTCCGCCTCCTCGGGACTGCCCCCCGGTTCCTCACTCACTCCACGGGGATGGGCCCCACGGTCCACTCCAGCTCCACATAGGGCTGCCCCGCATGGAGCCGCACCACTTGGGAGCACCACGAGGAGAAGTTCTGGTGAAGCTCCTGCACAAGCGCGTTCTGCAAGGGCGACAGTGGGGGATCAGCACCCTCAGGGGCACCCCCAGAGCTGAGGGCACCCCCGGGGCCATCCACCTTCACGAGGGATGTGGAGATCTGCTTGGAGCCAGAGACGGGGATGGGCTCGGAGCTGTTGGGACGGAAGATGTAGGCTCCGGAAGCCTGGGAGCTGTCGTCATTGCCAACGCTGGCGTTGTACCTGGGAGGAGAGGGACGGTGAGAGGTGGTGGAGGAAGGTCCCATGCGAGGGACCCCACCAGTGCTCACCAGTAGAAGCTCTGGAAGACGGGCAGCGAGATGTTCTTGGCCAGGTTCTGGATCTCCTTCATGTGCCCAGTGCGGGGGTCAAACAGCACTCGGAGATGCTGCAGGGTTGGGACGGCAGCAGCTTCAAAGTCTGCCCCTGCCCCAGCTCCTCCAGTTACCGCAGCACTGGTTTAACTGGGACAAGGGAAATGGGGCTCCACCAAACCCCAGGCCAGGCCCATGCCTCGTTGTGGATGTCCCACGGCTGTGGCTGCACCGGGGGCTGGACAGGGGGGACACGGGGGTCCCCATGGGGCGACCGTGTCACCGTGAAGGTACTGAAGCCCAGAGCAGGCACCGAGGCTTGAAAGAGCAGCTCCTGCATGGCCCCAGCATCATTCCCACGCAGCCCACGGGTGGCGATGGACACGGGGACAACCTGGGAAGAGGGCACAGGGTGAGCTGGGGACACGGGGACAAGGGGGGGCCATGTGGGGTCCGGGCTCACCTCGCTTGGCACGGGCTGGCCACGGGGGTCTGTGACCGTGTAGGACGCTCCATGGACCGGCAGGCGGAGGGGCCAGGACACGCGGCGCCCCAGCGGGTTGTAGAGGAGGACGAGGAACTGGGGACATGGGGACAAGGGCCATGAGCACTGCCTGGTCCCCTCCAAACCCCCCCAGGTTCCCCCGGGGCTCCACTCACCTGGCTCGAGGCCTCGGACAAGGGGCAGACGCTGATATTGAGGCTGTTGCAAAAAGTGAAGGTTTCCTTGGTGCCGCTGAGGCTGGCCAGGGCATTGGAGACCAGGAGCTGGCAGAAGGGGGGGACACGTGAGGGTCCCCCCATGGCTCACCCCGTGGGCCCCCAAAGCACTGGGCAGGGTCAGGGGCTCGAGCACTGGCTCCTGTCACCCATCTCCACACTCCATGAACACGGTGATGTCACCCCAAACACCATCTGTGCCCCCCCAGCTCCACCTGCACCTCAACCCCAGCAGTGGGGCCCTACCTGGCACCTCTCCCACCCCATTGCCAACTGCTTGGCGTAGTCATTGGCCACGTGCTGCTTCTCGGTGCCGGTCACGGCATCGTGGTGCTGGGCCACGGCCACGGCTTCACCTACCAGGGGACAAATGAGACATTAAAGGGGTGCAGGCGGGGGTCCCAGGGGTCCCACCCCAGCACTTACGGAGCAGGGAGCTGTCCCCAGGCCCATAGGGACCATCCCGCGCTGCTGGTCCTGCCAGTGCCTCCAGCTGACTGCAGATCTGTGGGATGGGCGGAGGGGTTGAGATGGAGGCTCCTGCCCTTGGGAGCACAGGGTGGGAGAGCTGGGAATGAGAGCCTGGAGATGGGAAGGCTCCAGGGAGGGCTTAGAGCAGCTCCCAGTGCATAAGGGGGCTGTAAGAGAGCAGCTTTGGAAAAGGGATGGGATGAGGAAGAACAGCTTCCAAGCGGAAAAGTGAAGAGTTGGCTGGGATGTAAGGAAGCTCTTCCCTGTGAGGGTGGTGGGACACTGGGATGGGTTGAAGAGAGAAGGTTGGGACGAAGCATCCAGGTTGGAGAGGGCTTGGAGCAAGCTCCTCTAGTGGAAGGTGTCCCTGGATGTGCTTTAAGGTCCCTTCCCATCCACCCCATTCCATGCCTGGGGCCATTCCCACCTGCAGGAAGTTGTTGCTGAGGCGCTCGTAGCGCTTCAGGGCTGGGCGGCTGGTGAAATACCCTGTCCAGAACTGGTGGGGCCCATCCGAGTACGGGAAGAAATCATCCATCTTCAGGGACCTGAAGGGAAAGCCAGGCTGTATCCATGTATCCATCCCACCCCAACCCAGGGTCCCCCTGCACCCTCGGAGCCTCACCAGGAGAGGTTGGCCTGGTGCAGCTCCCACAGGTAGCAGGATGGGGTGGAATAGAGGACGTGGACACGGCTGCCATTGGCTTGCTGGAAAAGCCATGGATGGGGTGAGCTGGGGCTGGGGGGGGGGATGACAGCAAACAGGAGGGACATGGTGGGGGGCCCCCGCACCTGAGCATTGACGTGGGCAATGAGCTTGTCCATGTTTTTGAACCAGAGGTTGGCATTCTCATAGTGGAAATCGGAGCCCATTGTCATGATGATGTGGTTGGTTCGATAATGCTTGGCCTGGGGGGGAAACAGACACAAAGATAGGTCAGGAACCCCCCCAATCCTATGGGATACCCTCTCAGCTGTACCCAGTGCTTGCATACCCACCTGCTTGGTGGCGATGTCCAGGAAGGTGGAGACGATGGAGGCCACGTTGTTCTCCTCGCTGTCCCCATCCACCACGGGGGGGTCAGAGCAGAGCTGGTCCCAGCAGAAGCCCGTGGGGGGGTTGTAGAGGTTGGGGAGGATGCCTGGGGATGGTCCCCCCCTTTGTCAGCATGGGATTGGGTGGCTGGGGTGGGGACAGGAGTAGGAGCAGCCCTGGGATGGGGATATGGGGACAGGAGAGCTGGAATGGGTATATGGGGACAGGAGAGCTGGGATGGGAACACAGGGATGGGAGAGCTGGGATGGGGACACAGGGATGGGAGAGCTGGGATGGGGACACAGGGATGGGAGAGCTGGGATGGGGATATGGGGACAGGAGAGCTGGGATGGGGATATAGGGACAGGAGAGCTGGGATGGGGACACAGGGATGGGAGAGCTGGGATGGGGATATAGGGACAGGAGAGCTGGGATGGGGACACAGGGATGGGAGAGCTGGAATGGGGATATGGGGACAGGAGAGCTGGGATGGGGATACAGGGATGGGAGAGCTGGGATGGGGATATGGGGACAGGAGAGCTGGGATGGGGATATGGGGACAGGAGAGCTGGGATGGGGACACAGGGATGGGAGAGCTGGGATGGGGATAGGGACAGGAGAGCTGGGATGGGGACACAGGGATGGGAGAGCTGGAATGGGGATATGGGGACAGGAGAGCTGGGATGGGGATATAGGGACAGGAGAGCTGGGATGGGGACACAGGGATGGGAGAGCTGGGATGGGGATATGGGGACAGGAGAGCTGGAATGGGGATATAGGGACAGGAGAGCTGGGATGGGGACACAGGGATGGAGAGCTGGGATGGGGATATGGGGACAGGAGAGCTGGAATGGGGATATGGGGACAGGAGAGCTGGGATGGGGACACAGGGATGGGAGAGCTGGGATGGGGATATGGGGACAGGAGAGCTGGGATGGGAACACAGGGATGGGAGAGCTGGGATGGGGATATGGGGACAGGAGAGCTGGGATGGGGACACAGGGATGGGAGAGCTGGGATGGGGATATGGGGACAGGAGAGCTGGAATGGGGATATAGGGACAGGAGAGCTGGGATGGGGACACAGGGATGGGAGAGCTGGGATGGGGATATGGGGACAGGAGAGCTGGGATGGGAACACAGGGATGGGAGAGCTGGGATGGGGATATGGGGACAGGAGAGCTGGAATGGGGATATGGGGACAGGAGAGCTGGGATGGGGATATAGGGACAGGAGAGCTGGGATGGGGACACAGGGATGGGAGAGCTGGGATGGGGATATGGGGACAGGAGAGCTGGAATGGGGATATAGGGACAGGAGAGCTGGGATGGGGACACAGGGATGGGAGAGCTGGGATGGGGATATGGGGACAGGAGAGCTGGAATGGGGATATAGGGACAGGAGAGCTGGGATGGGGACACAGGGATGGGAGAGCTGGAATGGGGACACAGGGATGGGAGAGCTGGGATGGGGATATGGGGACAGGAGAGCTGGAATGGGGATATAGGGACAGGAGAGCTGGAATGGGGATATAGGGACAGGAGAGCTGGGATGGGGACACAGGGATGGGAGAGCTGAGATGGGGACACAGAGGGGGGTTCCCACCAGTGAAGAGGTCGGAGCCGGGGCTCTGGAGGCTCCCAGTCGTCCTCCAGAGCAGCTCCAGCTCCCGGCGTTGCTCCCGCTGCGCCTTGTCCTGGTGATCCACGCGGCCCAGGAAGAGCCCATCATAGCCCATCTGCGGGCAGAGAGGAGGTGCTCAGAGCTGGGGACCCCCCGGGGGATCAGGAGGGCTGGGGGGGGGTCCCACCTGCGCGAAGGTGGCTGCGCTCTGCCGCGAGTGGCCGAAGGGGTCGATCTGCCAGGCCTGGCGGGGGGCGGCGCAGGGCCCCAGCTCCCGGCGCAGGAAGCCCCGGCCCAGCCCCAGCTGCTCCAGTCCCGCGCTGTAGTGTGTGACCGCCTCGTCTGCCATGCTCCAGCCACCCCCCACCAGCTCCAGCCGCCCTGTGGGGATAGAGGGGACAGGGTGAAACTGGGGTATTGAGACAAGGGCCATGGACAGGGGGATGGGGGCACCTCCTGCCAGCAGCACCCCAAGTCCCTCTGGGTTCCCCCCCAGGCTCCTCATCCCCCCACCCTGATGCACACACACTCCCCACCATGCACATCTCGCCCCATGTCCCTGTGTGCCCCTAGTGACATCCCAATCCCTCCCCATATCCCTGTGTACCCCCTCCAACCCCCTCCTATGTGCCCCCCCATGGTCCTCAGGGACACAGAAACCTCGGACCCCCAGGTCCCCCCGCACCCTGCTCCACGAGCTGGCGCACGGTGTTCTGGGTGGCCTGGTCCTGCAGCCGCCACCAGCGAGCCAGAAAAGCCACTTCAGCGTAGGTGAAGCGCCGGGTGGGCTCGGCCACCAACTGAGCCACAACCGAGTCCAGGATGTATTGAACGCCCGCATGCTGCACATCGTTTCGCACTAATGGAGACAACCGGGGGGGGGGGCACAGGGACATGGCAACAGCCATGGGGACACAAGTGGCATCGGGGGGGTGGTTATGCCATGGCAGGGACGGGGGCACAGTGATGGCCAGAGGGTGGGGGGAACGTAACAGCCAGGCCATATAATGGGAGGGGGGAACACAAAAGGGTCTCAGAATTGCCCCACCTGCATTTGGCAGTGCTTCACCCCTGTGGTGGCCCTGGGGATGTCACCACTCTCCCTGTGGTGGCCTCGGGGGCGTCACTTCCAACCCCATGGTGGCCTTGGGGCCATCACTGTCCCTGTGGTGGCCTCATGGACGTCACTTCCACCCCCACAGTGGCCTTGTGGACCAGCCCCCCCCCCCCCCGGTGACAGAGACACCACCTCCATAGAAATACTGCTCCACCGTCTTGAGCCAGCCCACGTCGTCGTGCGTGTGGGGCACGAGGTGCACGTTGAGGAGGTCGGGGCGTGTCGGGGGACAGGACTGCGGGCACAGGCGGATTCTCAAGGGACTCAATACGGGGCTGTGCCCACGCAGTGTCGGATCCTTCCCCCCCCCCGCCCCCCCCCAGTGTTTCCGGAGGAAGCCGTTGCAGAGGAACCACTGACAGCCCCAGTACCCTCAATCTCCCCTTACGGCCCCCGTCCCAGCCTCTTACACCAGCCCATGCCGGGCACTTCCCCTTCCCATTCCCCAGGCCCAGTTTCCCTCTCCCAGCCCCACACTGCTTCTCCCACCCGCTCTCTTCCGGCTCCCCCAGTTCCCTTCAGTCTCTCCCGGCCCCCGTTCCCGGTACCCCCCGTTCATGCCGGGCCCAACCTTGTACCCGCAGCCCAAGGCCGCGGCCGCCGCCGCCGCCCTAAGCAGCAGCAGCGGAACTGCCACCACCGCCCCAGGCGCCGCCATCCCGCTCCTGAGCACGGTCATGTGGCCAACTCTTCACATGACCCGAGGGTGGACCAGGCGCTCCCCACCCGCTAGAACAGCGACAACCAATGGGCGGTAAGGGGAGCGAGAGTCCCGCGCTCTGATTCGCTGCTGCGCACGTGGACGGGGCGTAACGGAAAGCAGCCAAGACACTACCCCGAAGTGGGCGGTGACGTAGCGGAATCGAGCCAATGAGGAAGAGGAGAGCCCCGATGGACACCGCGAGCCCCTCCTTCCGGAGCGGGCGTTAGCAACCGCTCCTAGCAACACCCAGTAACCAATCACATGCGGCGGCTCCCGAAACTCCGCCCTCGATGTACCCCATGTACCCCATTATACCCCATTGTACCCCATTATACCCCATTATAACCCATTACCCCTCTCCCCCCTTGCACGCTGGTGGAGAGCAAATGAAGGGCAGCTTTCTCCTCCAATGGGGCATCGAGAAGCCGCCCCCCTCAGCAGGGCACCCAGAGCCAAGGGCTCGCCTCATCCCTCCCCGTGGGTCCCCTCCGAAGCCGCAGGGGGCTCCAAGCAGGGTCCAGCCCTCACAAGCGAAGTGGCCCCTTTATTGCGCCTGCCCCGGCCCCGGCCGTCACCACGGTGGGGACATGGGCTGCGGGTTCTGCAGGTAGGACATCACCACAGCCGAGATGGAGAGCCTGCGGCAGGGAGGAAGGAGACTGGCTCCGGTGCCTGCTCCACAGGGAACATGGCCCCCGGGCCCGACACTCACATGAAGCTGCTCATCATCTGCTTCGTGTCCTCAGAGCTGCGGGAGTTGGCGAAGCTGATGAAGGAGCAGTAGACGGCGATCCAGGCGCACCACTTCAGCTGCGGGTGAGGGGTATGGCACGAGCATGGGCCCTGTGTGCCCACAGCACCGTAGGAACAGGCCCTGTGTTCCCACAGCACCCTGGGCATGGGCCCTGTGTCCCCACAGCACCGCAGGAATAGTCCCTGTGTCCCCATAGCACCCTGGGCACGGGGCCTGTGTCCCCACTGCACCCCAGGAACAGTCTCTGTGTCCCCATAGCACTCCAAGGATGGGCCCTGTGTCCCCATAGCGCTTCGGGCACAGTTCCTATATCCCCATAGCACCCTGGGCATGGGCTCTGTGTCCCCATAGTGCCCTGGGCACGGTCCTGGTGTCCCCATAGCACCCTGAGCATGGTCTCTGTGTCCCCACAGCACCCCAGGAACAGTCCCTGTGTTCCCACAGCACCCTGGGCACGGTCCCTCTGTCCCCATAGCACTCCAAGGACGGTCCCGGTGTCCCCACAGCGCCCCGGGCACGGTCCCCACCCGGTGCCGGTTCCCCCACCTTAAGCATGAGCCCGCACATGCTGAAGACCATCCCCAGCAGGTTCATGTAGTCGGGTGTGGGGTCCTCCAGCGCCGGGTTGGTCTCGGTGGCCGGTGGCTTGTACCTGGGGGCGGCGCTGTCAGAGGGGGCCCGGTTCCCCCTCCCGTTACACTCCCGCTGCCCCGGTCCCACCTGGCCACCCGGGCCGGCCGCCGCGGGTCCGCCATTCCTCGCCACCGCTCACTTCCGCTTCCGCCGCCGCCACCGGAAGAAGCCGCCGCGGCTCCGGCTCCGATGCCGGTCCCAGCCTCGCCAATGGCGTTCCCGCTGCCCCGGCCCCCCCGGGCCGAGCTGCCGCAGCGGCGGGTGCGGACCCTGGAGTGCGGGCAGGGAGCGGTGCGCGCCGTCCGCTTCAACGGTGCGAGGGGGGAAACGGGGGCGCGGAACCCGGGCCTCATCCCTGGGGAAGCGGGACCTGGGGGGGACACACACACACGTGGGACTCCAATTCCCTGCTCCTACCCCATGGGGAGGCGGGGTCTGGGCCTCATCCCGCTGTGTGGGGCTCGCTGTGAGTCCCCGTTGCTGGGGTGAGAAGGGGCCGTTTGGGATGCGGGGGGGGGATCACCGCTTTGCCCCCCCCATTCCAGTGGACGGGAATTACTGCCTGACCTGCGGCAGCGACAAGACTCTCAAGCTCTGGAACCCGCACAAGGGCACAGCGCTCCGCTCCTACCAGGGCCACGGCTACGAGGTGCTCGACGCCGCCGGGTAAGTGGGATTGCGGGGACCCCAGCTCCTCGGGGGGAGCCCCCAGACCCACTGATGGGGTCCCCCCGCCAGCTCTTTCGACAACAGCCACCTCTGCTCCTGCGGCGCCGACAAGACGGTGGCGCTGTGGGACGTGGCCACCGGGCAAGTGCTCCGCAAGTACCGGGGACACGCAGGGGTGAGGACACAGAGGGGCTCCGGTGCGGAGCTGGGGGCTCCGGTGGGGAGCTGGGGGCTCCGGAGGAGTCTGAAGGCTCCCTGACTCCCTGCTTCTCCCATAGAAAGTGAACTGTGTCCAGTTCAACGAGGAGGCCAGCATCATTGTATCAGGTAAGGGAGTTGGGTTTGGGGGGGCCCTGTCAACACTAGAACCCCCCCAGTACCTTTTTCGTCCCCCAGGCTCTATTGACTCCACCGTCCGGTGCTGGGACTGCCGCTCGCGCCGCCCCGACCCTGTCCAGGTCCTGGATGAGGCCAAGGATGGGGTCTCCAGTGTGAAGCTCTCCAGCCATGAGATCCTTTCGGGGTGAGGCCCATGGGGAGCTCCCCACTCGTCCCCTACAATCGGGTGCAGCCGGGGGGGGGCCCACAACACCAACTCCCCCCTCACCTTATCCCCAGCTCTGTGGATGGCCACATCCGGCGCTATGATCTCCGTGCAGGGCAGCTCTACTGCGACTATGTTGGGAGTGAGTGTGTGTGTGGGGCCCAAAACAGAACTGGGGGGTCCTGTGGACCCCCCCCAAACTCCCATGTGCTCCCCAGGCCCCATCACCAGCGTGTGCTTCAGCAAGGATGGGCAATGCACCCTTGCTGCCAGCCTTGACTCCACGCTGCGGCTGCTGGACAAGGACACGGGCGAGCTGCTGGGCGAGTATGAGCCCCCTCCCCAGCACCCTGTGCCCTGCCCGGGGGGGGGGGGGGGAGGAGTTTTGGGTACCCCCCACTTCCCCATGTCCCCCCCATAGATACAAGGGCCACCGCAGCACGACATACCGGCTGGACTGCGTGTTAAGTGAGCAGGACACCCACGTGGGCTGCGCCTCTGAGGATGGACAAGTCTACTTCTGGGACCTCGTGGAGGTAAGGGGGTGAAAGGAGGCACAGGGGGGTACAAAGCCATGTTTTGGGGTCCCTCCCATCCCCTCACCCCCCCTGGTTTTAGGGCTCACTCGCTCGCAGCTTGCCGGTGGGCCGCGCTGTGGTGCAGTCGCTCTCCTTCCACCCCACCCTGCCCTGCCTGCTCGCTGCCACCGAGGGCCAGGTCCAGCTCTGGCGGGAGGACTCCTTCCAAGAGCAGGCGGATACAGAGATGTGACGTGGGGAGTTTGGGGGGTCACAGCCTGGGGGGGACCCCTCTGTGCTCCCTGAGGTCCAGGAATAAACCCGCTGTGCAGAGGAACTGTGGTGCTTTACTGGAAGCAGCTCAAATAAATACAAGCACTGGAAGGGGACACATACACACACACATGGATGGATTGGAACCCCTGCAGAGGTAGTTGGGGCTCAGCCCCTCACAAACAGGGGGTCCTCAACCTCCCCCCAAGGTGGGGGTTCACTTCCCAACCTCCAGATCCACCTCAGCGCCGTGTCCTGCTGGATCCAAAGGGAAAGCATCAGCTCTCTGGGCAAATGTCTCTGCCACCAACAGTGGGAAGACAAGGGAAGCATCAGCATAGACCTGGGGGCAGGGAAGAAGGGTGAGAATTGGGGACCGCCCCCCAGGGACCGCCAAATCCTTCCCTTACCCCATCCCACCTTGACGGGGGTGGCATCCATGCGGATCTTGCCCCAGGACACGGCCTCATCCGGCCGCGCTCCCGAGTCGGAGCCATCGAACTCCTGTGCTGTGTTCACGTAGACGGAGAAATCGGCCCCATTCCTCTGCAAGGCAAAAAGGGGGGTGACCCCTGACCCTGGGAGGGGGAATTTGGGGGGGTCCCCCCTGCATCCTCACCATGAGGTTGGCGTTGGCGATGTGGTGCTTCACCAGGCCCCCACCCAGGATGATCATCCCCGTCTTCCTCGCAAAGATGGCCTCGGTGTTGATGAGGCGCAGGTCTGCAGAATGGGTGCTGTCATGGGGGACCCCGATGGCCAAGGGGGACCCCAGTGTCCAGGCCATACCAAGGGGACACACTCACCTTCCACTATATCCAGCACCAGCCCTGGGCGCTTGTAGGAGTGGAAGAAGATCATGTCCCCTAGGGAGCCGTCGGTGAGCGCCGGGCTCAGCACCGGGATCTTGTTCTAGAACCACAGTGCCAGCACAGGCAAAAAGGGGATGGTGTCACCCCCCATGGGGACCCTGTGTCCCCCACTTCATCCCCCCACTGTGTCCACCAACCTTCTGTGCCCAGTAACAGACTGACTCGGGGTTGTTGATCTCCTGGCCCAGCCTCGCGATCATCCTTGACGGGGTCCACTTTGTGCCCTGTGGCAGCAGCACATTGAGCCTCCCCAAGCACACGTCTCCCTCTGTGTCCCCCTCTGTGTCGCCCACCTGCGTTTCCTGCTCGTCCACCATCTTCTCCAAGATGGGCATCAACCAGTCCTCAAACTTGCAGTAGTTATCGTTGGGCACCAAGAGGTTCCCAATCCTGGGAATCAGGATCAGGAGCAGGCCTGGAGGAGACTCCCTGGTAGTAGAGGAGACCCCCATGCCCAAAAGGGGATGCCATGTACCTGTTGATCCCGCTCTGGCGCAGCTCCTGACCCCTGAGGCTGAAGTCCCCGATGTAGGTGGGTGCCAGGCACTTGATGAGATCTTCCTCCACCCCTCCGGCCGTGGTCACCAGCACATCCACCTGGGCAGGGGGGCAGACAGCGTTGGGGATCCCCTGGGAGGGCACTGGGCACGCCCCAGGACACAGAGCGTGGAGGCTCTCTCCTTGGACCCCCCCCGGGGGGCCGCACGCACCATGTTGTGCTGCACCAGGTACCGGATGCTCTCCCGGACGCCGGAGCTGATGAGGTTGGACGTGAAGCCCAGGAAGATGGTGCAGCCCGAGGGCGGCCGCTGCCCGCCCAGCCCGGCGCGGCCCCGCTCCTCCTCGCTCAGCGGCTCCAGCTTCGCCTCGATCTACGGGGGCGGTGGAGCGGGGTCAGGACCGGACCCGGGACCCCCCCGTCCCCTCCGCGCCCCGCTCCCCGGTTCGCACCATGCGGTGGATCTCAGCGGCGGCCTGCGCGAAGCTGGTGGCCTGGAAGCCGGTGGTGAGGAAGGAGCGCAGCAGCGCTGCGTGGTCCGGGCCGCCCGCGAAGTCGTAGCCGCGCACCGGGAGGGCGTCGGGCGGGAGCGGCCCGCTCGGCCTCAGCACGGCCCGAACCGCCGCGGCTGGGACGGGCCCCGGCGCCGCCATCGTGCTCCCACCGCTCCCTTTCACCGCGCACCGCCGGCCCTGGGCGCCGCCATCTTGAAGGCGGGACGGTGGCCGCGGAGGGGCAAGACTCCCAAAAGCGAAAGGGATGGCCCCAAGCTCTCCATCCCCTGCGGTGCCCCAAACCAGCCCGATTTCGCCCCAAAACCACCGTGCTTGCAAAATCCGTTTAATACCCAGGAACAAGCACCAGGCTGCCAGCCCCAGCGAGGGCCCCGGGACCGGCCCGTGGCTCTTGTCGGGGGGGCTGAGATGGGACCCTGCGCCCAGCGGGGAGCCCCTGGAACCCCAGTTGGGTGCAGTGTGAAGGCGCGACAGCGGCAGCAGCATCAGGTCCGGAGCCTCCACACCTCGACTGAGAGGCCCCCCGAGGCGGCTGCCACCACATCACCCTCCACGCTGATCTGAGGGGGGAACAAGAGGGAGGTCAGGGCACTGCCCCACCCCAGGGAGCACACACGTGTACACACATGTGCAGGAGTTACACACGTGTGCGAGAGCCTCCTCACCCCATTGAGCACCTCATCTTGCGTCCAAGAGCAGATGGTGCGGGGAGGGTCTGTAGGGACGTGTATCTGCAACAGAGCAAAAGCACACTGACAGGGTCCAGCCCCACACCATGGGGGTCAGAGCCCCCCAGACCCAGCGCTGTGAGATGGGCACAGGGGGACTCTCACCCGCAGCGACCTGTCGATGGAGGTGGTGTAGAGGGAGCCCAGTGAGTGCCAGAGCCCTGTGATCTGCAGCCGGTGCCCTACGTCGAAGTACTGCATGGAGGGAGCACAGAACCCCAGTGTGAGAGCTCAGGGTACCCCCTGTGCTCCCCAACCTCTCTCCTCGGGGGCCCTACCTGTGCGGGCTGGAAGCTGCCGGTGCTGTTCCCAAAGACATAGACCTGGCCACGGTTGTCTCCAGCCCAGAGCTCTGCTCCCTGGTAGGACATGGAGACCAGATAGCTCTTCAGCTGTGGGATGAGCAGGTACAGAGAGCATGAGGGGCTCCTGCTGCCCCCCACATCTCAGGGCTTCCATTAGAGCTCATGCTGAGGGACAGACTCCCCTTGTCCCTCCGTTTTAGCGGGGTTTTGGACCCACCTGCAGTCGCTGGAGGACCCTGGCAGCCCGCTGATCATAGACAACGAGCGTCCGGTCCTCGCTGCCTGACAAGATGAGCCGCTCATCGGCCACCAGGGCCAGGACGGCGCTGGTGTGGGGCTTGTAGCTGTGCACTGGGGGCTGCCCAGCTGCAGGAGGACAAGGTGGGGGGTGTTGAGCTGGGTCCCCCCTTTCATCCTATGTACCCCCTCCTCCAGTCCTGGGCAGCACCAACCTCGCAGGTCGTAGATGGTCACAGTCCTGTTGAAGGTGCCGGTGACGAGGACATTGGGGCGATAGGACAAGCAGAGCACAGCTGCCTTCTCCCTGCAGACAGGGAAAGGGATGGGAGCAGCTGCCCCCCCCGACCCCCCCAAAACACCTCCCCCCCCCGGGCATTACCTGATCTCCCCAAACTGCTGCCCCTCAGCCTCCAGATCCCATAGCTTCACGGTGCTGTCCCAGGAGCCTGAGCACACTTTGTTGTCTTGGGAGTCCAAGCACCAGACCCAGCCCTTGGGAATCATGGAATGGGGGTGGGTTGGGAAGGAGAGCAGGGACACTTTCCACTACAGCAGGCTGCTCCAAGCCCCATCCAACCTGGCCTTGAACACTGCCAGGGATGGGGCAGCTTCTCCTCCAGTTTTCCCTTGGGATCACCCCAGCTCAGGGCTCTGGTTGAGCTCAGGACATTTTCACCTTGGTCCCTCTGAATCCATTCATTCCCTCCTGCTCCACATATCAGCAGACTCAAACCCGTGCCTGGGCTCACAACTGCTCCAGGAACCCCCACAATGCAACAACAGGGACTTGAAGGGGGGGGGGGGAATAATGCCCATGCCCCCACCTTGTGCGTCCCAGTGCGCTCAGTGCCGAGGGTCTTTGCCAGCACGCTGCCGGGAGCCCGGCCCAGCTGCTGCAGATCCCACACGTTGACGTTGCGGTCGCGGGCCCCCGACACACACAGAGTCCCCCCCTGCGATAGGGGAAGGGGACAGAGATGAGGTGAGGACCCTCCCCCCCCCACCTTTAACTTCCACAGCCCCCCTTTCAGCCTGGCACGGCCCTACCCGCAGCAGGAGGACAGTGTCAACAGAAGCAAAGTGGCCCTCGTCCAGGGAGAAGTGCTCCATGGGGGCCCCGTTGCCCCCCCAGCGCTGCAGATGCTCCTCCATGTCCACGCAGGCGGCTGACCAGTCGAACCCCTCTTCTGCGGGGAGGCAGAGAGGACCCCAGAGCTGATGGGCAGGACGGGGGGAACCAACGCACCCCCTTTGCCCTAAGCAGCAGGGATGTGAGGTGCTGAACGGGGGTGGTTCCCGGGCCCACACCTCACCTTCCACGACGGGGAAACGGCCACGGGCGCTGCGCTGGAGACGGAGCCGCCAAGTAACGACGTCCCGGGACAGGGCCCGCAGCACGCGGCACACGCGGGGCAGCACCTCCCGCACCTCCCGCGCCCCGAGGTACCCGCAGATCCGCAGCAGCAGCTCCGGCGGAAGCGCCAGCAGCGACCCCGCGCCTGCCGGCGGCGGCACCAGGAGCCCGCGCTCCTCTACCGGCCCCTCCATGGCTCAGGGGGAGCGAGGCGGAGCCGATAATAGCGGGGCCCGTGCCCCCCGCACTCGGGTGCTCTTTCAACTCCCGGTACCGGAACCCCTCCCCCCCCACCACAACGCGGCCCCGGTACCGGGACGCCTTCAGAGCCCCCGTCCCTTCTCCCCCCCCTCCCCCCCGGCCCGTTCCGGCACCGGGCCCAGCCCCGCCGCGTCCCGTCTCCACGGCCACCGTAAGCCCCACTTCCGGCGCGACAAACCCCGCCCCACCCCACCCCCCCCCGTGACCTGCACCTCGCCCAATGAGCGTGAGACTCTGGTGCTGACGCCATCGAGCGGCGACGGGACACATTCACGTGTGGACACCGGGAGCACCGGCACCAAACCTCGTGTCCCGTTCCCCCCCCCCCCCCCCCAGAACAAACGACACCGGGACGGGGACGGTCAACAACAGACTTTTACCGAGCAGAAAAAGGGGGAACACGCCCCCCCCCTCCCCCCGTCCCTGCGGAACACCCGCTAACACCCCCCCTCCTCCCCCCGTTCCCGCCCTGTAAACCGTAAAAAACGGAGAAAAAAAAAGAAAAAAAAAAAAGAAAAGAAACCCGGGGAAAGAAACCACAAGAAACGTGGCACCGACTCGCTCACGACGAAGCACAACGGCGGCGGCTCGGCCCGGCCCCCCCCCTTCCCCCGGCCTCCCGCTTCCCCCCCTCCCCCCCCCCGGGCAGGGGCCGCTCTACATGTTCTACGCATGAGGATGGGGCAGAGGGGGGAGGCACCATGCAGGGGGGAGGGATGGAAACATCCTACAACGGAAAATGGGGGGGAATCCCCGGTTTTGGACCCTTTCGCCCCGGTTTTTGCTCTTCCCTCCCCCCCCCAGGGATTTGGGTTGCCCCTTCTGGGGGGCTACACCCCCCCACCCCCAACCCCCCTTTCCCTTCCTTCCCCTCCACACCCGGGGGTGAAAGCAATGGCGGGCCCCCCCCGCCCCCACGGGATGGGGTGCAGCGCAGGGCACCCCCAAACCCCTCCCTGGGTGCAGTGGGGGGACATGCCCGCTCCCAACCACTGTCCCGACAGCTTCCCGACCTGTAAGAGGGTGGAAAAGGAGTTCAGGGGGAGCCTGTTCATCATGGAGGGGGCCCATCTGCCCACCCTTTGCTTTGTGGGGGCTGTAGCCCTCCCTCCAGACCTGATTCCGATGCTTTGGCCTGGCCTAGACCCCATAGAATGCCGCCAGCCGGTCCTTGAGCAAAGGTGGGAACTGCTCCGAAAACTGATGCCAGTTTTCCTCCCCAACCTGGTCCTTGAAGCCATGAAGGATCTGTGTAGGGGAAGGGGGAGCTTGACATTAAGGGGGACCCCTCACCATGGAGGTGGGGTTCCCCACTGTCCCCATGTCCCATCCTGACCTTATAGAACATGTCCCGCAAGTCGTCTTTGGGGCTCACCCAGGATGCGACGGCATCGCAGAAGAAAATGAAGTCCTGGGGGGGGGGAAAGTGTTATAATGGGATAACCCCTCCCCCCCACCCCAAAACACTGCTGGGTGCCCCCCCCCCCACTCCCCAATACCTGCACGACCCCCCCAGGGTTCACTCCAATCATCACACAGATGCCTCGGAAAGCTGAGTCCTTCTCTTCATTGTCCCGGATGTTCCGGAGGGATGTGCACCTGGAGGAGGAGGGAGTAAGAAAGTGGGGTTCAGTGACACCTGCCCTCCTATTAGGCGGTGTGCGAACCCCAAAGCTTAGCCCCCCCACTCACCAGGGCCGGATGAACTGCTGTAGCATGGGGGCCACCTCCTGTGGGCACACGAAGCCCAAGCGCCCAATGGTGATGGCTGAGGGTACAGGGAGGGGATTTGGGAGGCACAGCAGGGGAAGGAGCCAGCCCCAGCAACCAGTCCCTCCAAACTCCCACTTGTGGATTCCTCTGTGCCACACACCCCCCCGTTACCTGTGTTTTCTAGGAGGGTTTTGGGGGTGTTGGGGCGATTGATGATCTCTACCAGGTTGTTGAGCACCATCTGGACATACGGCTGCATCTCTGCCCCTGCAAGCAAGCGGGGGGAGGTATCAGGACTGGGGTACCTCAGCTGAGCTTTGGGGGGGCTGAGGGGGCCCCAAACCACTCACCCATCTGCATGCAGATCTCCCCAATGGCCCAGGTCGCGTTGTTGCAGACAGAGATGAACTCCGGGTTGAGGTTGGTGCCCAGGATGGGCATGAATTCAGCTAGGGTGGGAACAGACTCAGTGCCAGCCCCCCTAAACATCATTTTGGGCTTTCCCCCCCTTATTCAAGCCCCACACGCACCAATGCAGGGTTTG